TTTGCAACTTTTGTTATTTTGAATAGAGGTGGGTGGAGTGAGCACAGTCATAAGCTTCTGATGACCATGGAGTGCTGCACATAGCTATTTAGTGATCACTAGGAAACATGCCCTTTCTCTGCTTCTAGCATGTATATTGTATCATTCGCTTCACATGTGGACCTTTACTCACTGAACAGTCAAACCAACAATGAATATTTTGATTTATGTATGACCAAAATGGAACTACAACAAGCCAATAATTTATTTTAAATCCACTGTATAATGATACAAAGATTTTTATGTATAAAATGGTCTTGTTGCTCATGGAAAGCCAGATTTACTCCTTTGTTTTCTATCCTGCAAGTGCAGAAAAGAAAAGTCTGTTTGGTGTCCAAGTCCAATTCTTTCACCAGACATAATGATGGATGAGGGACATGGTGTCTGTGGCTGTTCAGACTTCTGTGGTTAATTTAGCCCCGTGGACTTATTGTATAAATCATACTCTGGTTCCCAAATAACATTGAGGATGCAAGCTCAATCTGGAAACAATCTTTATAGCTTGTTCCTGTGGTTTACTTCAACACAACCCCACAATATAAAGAAATATGTAATTATGTGGACAAAAAATAAATAAAATCCTGCCTGAATTCTTCCACTGAAAAAATACATTTGTCAGTGCAAATGGTTTAATTTTTCTGTCCAGCCTTTGGCAGCCTATAGGTCTTCAGCTGTGCAGCTACTCACAGCCACCTAGGCAAAAGAAGTGGGCCGGCAATTTGCTGCAACTTTTAGGTAGCACAAGGTCACATGGTCTATAGTTGAAAGATTGTGTTCTGCTTTTTGCAGTGTGCAAAAAGTGCCATCAATTTTATGTGCAAACTAAAGAAACCAGTATGAAAAATATGGAAGCTGCCTGTAAGTTGGGTGCAGCATGGTGTGGCGGTGGCATAATTCACACAGAGGCCAAGGTATTGTGAACTGTGCATTACAGAAAGTTCCAACAATGTACAGTTCGGCCTGGCGGGTAGGTACAACTGCCTGGAACCACTTATGAAAATGTGGAAGCGGTCTGTTGACTTTGGATGATGCCAACAGTGTATGTAATGAGGAGCAGAAAGCCATAGAGGAACTAGATTCCTCACAACTTCCTTCCCCTTCTGCATTGCTGCTCAAACCTTGCGCCACCTACAGAAGGGAGTACAGACTGTACCTGTTTACATGCCATTGGTAACTTCCTGAAAATGCAAGCTGCCTGGCTGTCTCTGACCTCTAATATTTTCTGAATTACTACTCTGTAACAAACAGAACTTTGCATACTTGTTGCTTTGGATCAACAGTCAGCATATACGAAAGAATAGTTCAGTAGTTGTAGCCTGTGCTCAGTACAGGTTGCTTTACATTCTGTTCCTGGTAATGCTTTCTGTAAAAGCTTACCTTCAATCACAATGCCAGTTTCTCCTCTCCCTTGTAAACTACAGTCCACATACCCCAGAAATCAAGATTATCTACTAACACTGACATTGTTGACAGAACACACAGGTGGTGGGAAAGAGCTTGTGGCTTGGTCCCGCTAGGAAGAAAATAAGACCTATGGTTAGCACTTCCGCCCGCCTGCCAGTACTAGGGTTGTTGGTTTAAATCTCAACCATGGCACCACCTGCCTGGAGATTGCATTTTCTCCATGTGATTGCATGGGTTTCCTCCGGGTACTCTGGTTTCCTCCAACACTCAAAAGACATGCTGGCAGGTTAATTGGCTCCTGTCTAAATTGGCTCTAGTATGGATATGTATGAATGTGAGTTAGGGACCTTAGATTGTACACCCCTTGAAGGTTAGGGACTGATGTGAATGTACAATATATGTATTTAAAGTGCTGTGTAAAATTTGCCATGTCTACTAATAACTTCCGTTTACCTCCCTCTAACCCATATACAGTATACCTGGTTACACTGATGATTTTTATATCTAAGTGTATGTGTAAAGTGTATGGACAAATCTAAAAATACATAATTCTTATACATGCATATTTTCCAATATTTTGTCTATTTAAAAACACTGCAAGTAAATAAAAAAAATTGTGTGTGTATATATACACAGGTCAAACTCGAAAAATTAGAATATCGTGCAAAAGTTCATTTATTTCAGTAATGCAACTTAAAAGGTGAAACTAATATATGAGATAGACTCATTATATGCAAAGCAAGATAGTTCAAGCCGTGATTTGTCATAATTGTGATGATTATGGCTTACAGCTCATGAAAACCCCGTATCCACAATCTCAGAAAATTAGAATATTACATGCAATCAATAAAACAAGGATTGTACATAGAACAATATCGGACCTCTGAAAAGTATAAGCATGCATATGTACTCAGTTCTTGGTTTGGGCCCCTTTTGCAGCAATTACTGCCTCAATGCGGCCTGGCATGGAAGCTATCAGCCTGTGGCACTGCTGAGGTGTTATGGAAGACCAGGATGCTTCAATAGCGGCCTTCAGCTCTTCTACATTGTTCGGTCTCATGTCTCTCATCTTTCTCTTGGCAATGCCCCATAGATTCTCTATGGAGTTCAGGTCAGGCCAATTGTAAGGGAATTCCCGTGAGACAGCTGGTGAATAGACGTGCACATGTGCACAGAAATGCAAGATCACGCACACGCACGGTGAATATTGGCGCCAGATGGACTATTTAAAAGGTGCCTCTGCCTGTGCTGAGTGCTCACTGGTATTCAGCTGTTCCTCGTTTCCTGCTCGTTCCTGTGTGATTTCCTTGTTGCTGACCCGGCTTGTTCCTGACCTGACTCTGATTACTCTCCTGCTTGATACTTGTTCCGGACTTCGGCTCTGCTCCTGACTTTGGCTTGCCTATGATTTGGTACCTCGCTGTCCGCCCATTGATGACCCTGGCTATTCCTTTGACACTGCTCCTGTCTCCTGCCCCTGCTTCCTGTCTTACTCTGGTGCACACCTGGCAATCTACCATACCATCTCTGCATATTACTACTGTGCCTGAATCGGAGGTTCATCAGTCTTCCAAAGTCTCCAACTTCAAGAGCTGCAAACAACATCTGCTGGTGCCCTTGTCCCCCTGGTCCCTAGACACCATCTGTTCCACTTCCAGTGGGGTCAGGACTAGTGGCACAAGTGAGGCCAACCTCATCATTTCAGTCTCCAATCAGGTACATGACACCAATCAAGCACAGTAATCCCACGGTCATTGAAGCAGGTTTTGGTGCTTTTGGCAGTGTGGGGCAGGTGCCAAGTCCTGCTGGAAAATGAAGTCAGCATCTCCATAAAGCTCATCTGCGGAAGGAAGCATGAAGTGCTCCAAAATCTCCTGGTAGACGGCTGCATTGACCCTGGACTTAATGAAGCACAGTGGACCAACACCAGCAGATGACAAGGCTCCCCAAATCAACACAGACTGTGGAAACTTCACACTGGATTTCAAGCATCTTGCAGTGTGTGCCTCTCCATTCTTCCTCCATACTCTGGGTCCTTGGTTTCCAAATAAGATGCAAAAGTTGCTCTCATCAGAAAAGAGGACTTTGGACCACTGAGCAACAGACCAGGTCTGTTTTTCTTTAGCCCAGGTAAGACGCTTCTGACAATGTTTTTATTGTTTAGGAGCAGCTTGACAAGAAGAATACGACATTTGAAGCCCATTTTTAAACATGGGCAGCACAGTGGCTAAATGGTTAGCATTTCCGCCTGGCAGTACTCGGGTCGCTGGTTCGAATCCCAACCACGGCACCACCTGCCTGGAGTTTGCATGTTCTCCCTGTGACTGCGTGGGTTTCCTCCGGGTACTCCGGTTTCCTCCCACACTCCAAAGACATGCTGGTAGGATAATTGGATCCTGTCTAAATTGGCCCTAGTATGTGTATGTATGAATGTGAGTTGGGGACCTTAGATTGTACACCCCCTTGAGGGTTAGGGACGGATGTGAATGTACAATATATATGTAAAGCGCTGTGTAAATTGACTTCGCTATATAAGTACCTGAAATAAATAAATGTCCAGGATCCGTCTGTGTGTGGTGGCTCTTGATGCACTGACTCCAGCCTCAGTCCACTCCTTGTGAAAGTCCCCAACACTTTTGAATGGCCTTTTCCTGACAATCCTCTACAGGCTGTGGTCATCCCTGCTGCTTGTGCACCTTTTTCTTCCACACTTTTCCCTTCCACATAACTTTCTATTAATGTGCTTTGATACAGCACTTTGGGAACATCCAGCTTATTTTGCAATTACCTTTTGAGGCTTTCCCTCCTTATGGAGGGTGTCAATGATGGTTTTCTGCACAACTGTCAGGTCAGCAGTCTTTCCCATGATTGTGATTCCTACTGAACCAGACTGAGAGACCATTTGCAGGTGCTATGGCTTAATAAGCTGATTAGAGTGGGACACTTTGAGCCTAGAATATTGCACCTTTTCACAATATTCTAATTTTCTGAGATTGTGGATTTGGGGTTTTCATGAGCTGTAAGCCATAATCATCACATTTATGACAAATCACGGCTTGAACTATCCTGCTTTGCATGTAATGAGTCTATCTCATATATTCGTTTCACCTTTTAAGTTGCATTACTGAAATAAATGAACTTTTGCACGATATTCTAATTTTTTCGAGTTTCACCTGTATATGCTAACAGTATGACATCTGCGCTCTAAATATCCTGTCTAACAGAGTGCTGTCATCAAATCTGCTCAGTTACATGAACTACATGAAACCGCCACTTCGCTTTATCTCCATTGAATTGGGATGCAGAGAGGATTTCTGTAGTCATAACATAGTTCTTGTTCTAGAGAGACAGTATTGCTCCTCCAAAGATATATTACAGTGATTAAGCACGATTAATCTAGGACAGTGTGTCACTATCAGGATCAATGGGTAAAAGTAAATGAAAAAAGTCTGAAAAAGGAAAAGAAATGCAGTAATCACATCTAAGGACTGGTAAGCTGCTTATATACTGCAGATACAGTCTTCGGTTCAGATATACTTTGAAGTAAATTTCAATACCTTCCTGTAACTAGAGATCCTCCTGTAAATATGTTCAATTTTCTCTCGACAGATGATAGTGAATTTATTCTGAAGCTCCGGAGGAATGACTTCTTGTAAAGAATGCAGATTGCTGCAGTTTTGCACAAACTGTTCATCACTTTTAGCAAAAGCATCTAATACCTGTGAGAGAAATTAGAAAACAGGTCATTGCAATTAATCTTGGAAATATATTTTACAGTGAAACAATCCCTGCTAAGTCAGCTATATTCATTCAAATGAGCAACAATTCATGGGCCCTGTCTGCTCCAAAATAATATGATCAATGTTAGTGGTGTGATAAGAAATATTGCTCAAATGATACAATCGTCAGGTACAAAAAATAAGGCCATTGTCAGGGATATCATGATCCATACAAAAAGCTGCTTGTAATTTGACTTCAACTTTGTGAAGGCTTTTAGAAGAAACTGAAATTACAGCAGCAGGGGGTTAATAATTCTTGAAATCCCATCCATAAATTCAAAACTCCTGCGAAAAATAACAAAAATGCTTACTTGCAGCATTTTTCATTTCCATACATTTTTTTTTATTGACTTGCAATGTGCCTTTGAACTTGATAGCAAACTTGGTTACTTCAGAAGAGTTACTTTCCTAGCACAGTCCCCTCCCTTCTGCCATGTTGTAGCTCTCTCCTCTTCTTCAAGTGTTTAATATTTACATTAGATGTTTTCCAAATTCACATGATGGAGGAAATTTGGGGTCTGATATGTGGAGGCTGACCAATTTTAAATTATATTTCTTGTAAAATCTTGGACATAAAGAAGAAATATTCACTACTATTTAGAAGTCACTTCTACTGTATGTTAGCCCAAACAGATAACATTTCCAAGAGTCTGACTTTATATTATGGCTGGTAAATACATAGGGGTAGATTTAGTAATGAATAGAGAGAGCCGGTAACTCCAAAGACCATATGAAGGTTTTTTTATAGACTATACAGGAGTGACATACGAAGCACACTGACGCGTTTCGCGTTTCGTTTTGCACATTTAACTCTTCGATTGCCCTTAATAACACTTTGATCACCCTGTCACCCAGCCAGTGCCATTAGTAAAGTGTCAGTATATAGAATTTTTCAATGATCACTGTATTATCACTACTAGCGACATCAGAAAGCATCAGGGTCTGTAAGCTCCCCTAACAGCCAGTGTTAGCTAGCGTTAGATTGCACGCACACTATCACACTCACACTATAGGTCGCTTATCACCGTCATTACTAGTATAGTATTTATACAGATCAATATATTTATCATGAACAGAACTATACTAGTGCCTCCTTTGTATAGTGTCCTCAAAAATGCAGTGTTAGCAGGATCAGCCCCATTCACTGCCAGCAGTAGAGTTTAGCCTGCTGTTTTTCAGAGAAGAATTGTAATTTATATGCACAACAACACATTGCTGCCCACCCAAATTCAGCTCTTGCCAGACAATTCGCATGGAAACCTATCACGGTTTCTGAATTTAAAACTTTTTTGGCCTAACCCTCAACATGGGCATTACAAAAAAGAATGAATTGCGGTCATATTAGTCCACAGACCCGATTCATCATATGCCCATGTTCTCTGCTGTTACATTTATGCTCAAAAAGGACCAGCAACATACTGGTACATTGCTGGACTTTGAGTGAATATACCGGGATGATGGCTGCAGCTACAGGCATCATCCTGGTATCATTTTTTTTTTAACTGGTGGGCAGCTTACATGTAAAAGCAATCGTAGCGGCTGATTAGCCGCTGGATCATTTTTACAAGCAGCGGGAAGGGACACTCTCCCCCATCCCACCACTTTCCTCACCTTTCTTGGTTTCTCCCGTCCCACAGGGGAATCCGAGAATGCAGCCAGCAGTTCCACTGGCTGACCATAGAGCTGATTGGAGACCAAAATGGCTCCAAACATCTCTATGGTCTAAGAAACCGGAAGCTACTAGCGCTTCATCATTTCCCTTTTGCCGGATATTAAAAGCGACATTTTTAAATTGGGAAAGCATCTGATCACACCGATCTTGGTGTGATCAGATGCTTTAAGGGCAGAGGAGAGATCTAGAGTCTAATAGACCTCATATTAAAATAAAATAAATTAAAGGAAATAAAAAATCACCCTCGCCCCACACCCGTTCCAGTGCTCATGCACAAAGGCACAAGCAAGCATTGGTCCCATGTCAGTATGTAAACAGAGCTTGCATTATGCATGTGAGGTATCACCGTGAACGTCAGATCGAGGGCAACAATTCTGGCACCAGACCTCCTGTGTGAATATAATTTGCACGGGCATGCACAATTTTAAAACATGCCATGTTTGGTATCCATTTACTCAGTGTAACATCATCTTTTATACTTTATCAAACAATTGGGCAATATATTATGTTTTTGTGCATTAAGATTTAGAAAAATGGGCGGCGTGTGGCAGAAGCCTCTAATGCTGGCCCTGAAATGGCAGGATAGTAGAACACCCTCCCCAAATGACCCCTTTTTGGAAAGTACATACTCAAAGATATTTTCTAAGGGGCATGGTGAGTATTTTGCAGATCTCATTTGTTACCACAAGTTTTTGGAAAATTAAGAAAGAAAACAAAAATTTATTTTTTCTTTTCTTTTTTTAATTTCAAAACCCTGTGACAAAAAAGATATCTGCAAAATACTCACCATGCCTCTTATCAAATTCCTTGGGTTGTCTTCTTTCCAAAAAGGTCATTTGGGGGGAGGTGTGTACTATCCTGGCATTTTAGGGCCTCCAAAACTGTGATAGATAGTGAGGAAGTGATATGAGGAAATATGCCCTTTGAAAGCCTAAAAGTGGTCATTAGATTTTGGGGGAGTGTATGTAGATAGGCTGCCAAAAAGTCGGGAGAAGTAGCATAATGTGTTTTGGGGTGTTGTTCCCCATATAGCCATGGCATACATAAGCAATATATCATTTAGGGTTACAACTTTGTGTAAAAGAAAAAAAACTTTTTTTAAAAAATTTGTTGCAAAAAAATAAAATCTTCCATGGACTCAAAATGCCTCTCATAAAATTCCTTGGGGTGTCTACTATTTCTAAAAAGGGGTAATTTGTGGGTGTTTGTACTGCCCTGGCATTTTAGCACCTCAATAAATGTGATCAGTCACAAAGTAAAATCTGCGTAAATTCCAGTATATATACCATAGTTTATAGATGCTATAACTTTCACACAAACCAATTAATATACACGTACTGGGATTTTTTTTTTACCAAAGACATGTAGCAGAATACATTTTGGCCTAAATGTATGACTAGCTTGGAGTTTATTGGATATTTTTTTTAACCAAAAGTAGAAATTATCTTTTTTTTTTTCAAAATGTTTGGCATTGTTTTCATTAATATCACGAAAAAATAAAAAACCCAGTGGTGATCAAATACCACCAAAAGAAAGCTCTAACTTAAGACTTAAGCTGTGAAAGGCAGGTGCAAACTGGCATGGAGCCCACTCACACTCCTATAGCGGATGATGCAAGTCTGAAAAGGAGGGTGGCACACCACTGGTATCATCCACAAGAAACCTAATTGGAGACTGCTCAGACAGAACATGTTTCTGCCATAGTGTTCTATCTGAGCAGACTCCAATACAATTTCTTGTGGCTGATACCAGTGGTATTTGACCCTTCCTTTCAACTGGCATAGACTTGTATTATTATAATAAAAAGCAGGTGTCCAGGGCACCCCACCCCCTACCCCTTAAATCAGATGTCAAGAGCCCCCCCACCACCATCAAAGGTCAAGAGTCCCCCATCTTCCCTTACATTACAGTCAAACCCTTTACCTTGTGATGCTGCTGGGAAAAAGCTAGGGACATAGCTAGGAAGCAGAAAGTGTAGGGTCTGGAGGAGGACCAGAGGAGAGCTGCCAGAGTCTGCTGAATGCTGAGACAAGGGGAGCAGGAGACATGGGAGCGCTGCGTCTGCACAGAGAGACTCGAAATCTGTAGGAGGAGTTCTGTCCTCCTCTCTGCTGCTGACTGCTGAGACAAGGTGGGAGCAGAGATGAGGGGGGTGCCACAGCTGTAGGAGAGGTGTGATGGCCACATGAAATGGCCTGGCGATCCCAATTCGGGCCTTCTGTTTGACACATGTGGTGTAGACATTGTCTCTGTGCTTATAAAGGTCTTAAGCATGGGAAAAAGTTAATATATACTAAAGGATTAACATCTCTCACCTTGGCACTTAGGCTGAAGAAGCCCTTTGGTTCAACCATCTTCTCCACTACATGGCACTTGATTCCTGCTGTGCTGTCGTACTCATATATAACACCATATTCTAAGTGAACGTTATCCACAGTGAGGCTCACGTGATCCTTCTTTCCGTCAATGATAGCCATGGTGCTGAATTTGTCAATAACCTCTTTAGTGAATAACACACATGAATGAATAAAGAGAGTAAGTGAAATGCCTAATAGTGATCTGTTTCAAGGCAAGAACTTATAATTAATTCTACCTTCTACTTTGCAATCAAATCCATCCCCTTCGTTTTCTCCTAAGGGCCGAGGATGAGCGGATTTTATGATATCTTCCTTGGCACTCTCAGTGCTGTCATAGATCCACTGGATGGAATCTTGCTATTATCACAAAACATAGAAAAATCACATTGATTATGTATGTAATTCCAAATGCCATCTCTTTTCTTGCATTATAGAAGGACTATTTTTTTTAAAGCAATTATTTGCCATAATCTAATGGCCTTACTTGTCAGACAGTATTAAAGATGGCCTTACATGAACAGAAATTTTTGAGTGGTACTAGCAATTTCAAAATAGCCTTTTAGTAATTGCAAATGTGTTATTTGAGGTATGAGTGAATTAAACAGAGAGCCTTGGGACAAGAAGATTGGATGAAAGATTGATCCATTCCGGCCTGCTGTGCGTGACAAGGACTGTAGATGACCCCTGTACAAAGAAACAGTTTGTACCTTCCTAAGATTTTCATCATTTCTGCTACATGCACACACATGCCCATTTTCCATAATACCTGGTTAGAGTGTCTAGCAAGAATTGACTTTTGTCCTAAATAAAATACTTTATCTGCAGTGTCAGCTGATTATTTTGTCTATGCTTCATTCACTAAATAGTTTGGTTTGGCTGTTTTCTCAGTAGTAACGTCTTCTAAGACAGCACCAGCCCCAGAAAACCTAAATTTCATGCTTCAGTCCTGAAAGTGGATCTAGCATCATATATATTTTTTATGCCATGTGCATGTTTAATAATGTGTAAATATAATAGCTATAGTTATTGTTAACACTGATAGAGATCTCAATACTCCTCCTCACAATGCTGTTGTCTGTTTTTCTCTCTAGAAGGACCATCCTTGTTCAGGCATTATCTAGGGACAGCATCTAATTTCTACACTGAAATTCTGGCATAGAGACTACATGATCATGAAAATCCTGATGCTTGCACAATTCTTGGCTGTATTCACAAATGTCTGACACATATCTGAGTACCGAGGAAGAGGAGACTGCGGAAATGCTTCCTATTTTCTGCAGTAGACGGGTGACAGTATCCCAACCAAAGCACAGTCACTTAACTGGAGCGTATTAACTGCTTTTTAATGCTAAAAGAAACTGATTGTTTGAAAAAATTACACTGTTACTGTATATTGTATCATGTCAGAAAAGTATTCATGCAGACACTTAAAGTTACGGAAAGGTCCACTTTAAGGCATTGTCACTAAAGTCTGGTCACTGTGAAAAGGCACCTTAATGATTTTCAGGGCATCATCCTCTTTTCTGACCACCTTGACCCTAAAACAGCTCTCCTGATTGTCACCCAATGTCCTTTTTGGCCCCTGTGCAGTACAGGCTACACAATCATGTCCACTTGTCACCCCTTTTGCCCTGTGATAAAAGAATATCCTTAGCAACTTTGTTAGTTGTCATATCCTTCTCAGATGACACATGTAAGTATGTGGTTGTTCCAGACAAATGGAAGATTTTTTGGTTGGTAAGTAAAAAAATTTTTTTTAGAAGTTAAAAAATGGTTTGTCTTTAGTTACACTTCAAGCTAAAGAATAAAAAATGTACACTTGTACATTTGGTCTACAGAATGATTGGTTCCAAAAGAAAGCTGCTAAAGACCAGTATTCCAGGTTCATTCTTTGATCCCACTGCTCACTGTGGTACACCAGTTTCACTTTGTTAGTACTGTTTTGCATCCAACAAACATTTGCATGCCAAGCCTATATTCAATAAATTATAGTATTTTATTCTCATGAACAGAATGATTCCTACTTGTCCAGCTTGGCTGAGCTCAGTTAAAGTTTTCATGAAATACAAGGCTGGGGAAGGCAAGCCCAAAACCTTTCCCTAACCAACCCAGCCTTTACCAAGCATGCATCTAATGAGGTGGACCATCTGATGGCAAATAGACAGCAAAGGTGCAAGTGGCTTTAGATCGGAAGAAAGATTAAAGTGTTCCAGCCAGATGAAAGATTACAGTGTACTGGCTTCACCAAGTTATTGCTACACTGTGCCAGTGTCCCAAGTTTTCTCTTCTCGAAAACATGTGAACTATTTTGGATGAAATATTTTAAGGGCCGGTTCACATATATGTGAATTAGATTCAGTTTGAACCACATCCAATCCGCATGACATGGAAAATAACATTGCTTCTTTTGGTGCCTGTTCACATATGTCCAGTGCACTGGTGGTGCAGATTCAGTGCAGATTGAAAGAGAGTGCTGTATGATTTCTGAGCAGTGTGGTCCAATTCAGGTGTGGATTACAGGCTATTGACTTCTATGAGAGCCGTTTCTAAACTGCACATGTGGGAACAGGATAAAATCCTGACCTGACCCTGTCCTGAACCTGATGTAAACCAGACCTGAACCCCTGAACAACTACTGTGTCAATTATCTGTGAAACTTGAGCTTCAATCCGCACCACACATATGTGAATCAGCTCTAAAGCTAAATATACAGATTAAAGGAGAAGTACAGCCAAGGCTCTTTTGTTTGATCTGCACTCCTGTGACCCGTTTTCAGCTGACTGCAAGCTGAAGTCCGCTGATGGCTGACATCACTCAGCCAGTCCAGGCTGGGGAAATATCCTGACTTCAAAGTCATGATCCACCCCAGAGTCTGCATCGGCACCTGGCTCAGCCTCTCAGGGAAGCGCTGAGAGCCTGAGCCAGCCACTCTCGTCCACTCCACAGCCCAGCGCTCCAGTGAGCACTGGGGAGGCAGAGCAGACAGCGGTGACTGACAGAGAGGAGATCTCAGTGATCAGCGTTCATGTGATTGCTAAGTTCTCACCCTTAGAGCCAACAGGGGACAGATGCAGCATCGGACCAATGCTGCATCCACCTAGGTAAGTATAAATGGGGGGGCCCTACTTCTCTTTTAAATACATTCTTACCTGCCAAAAGATTTGTATCTCAGTCTATATGGTCCTGAGATTTACAGACCTGCTAAACTGAACAGCCTGGTCTCACAGAGCAGGAGAGCTGATTTTTCTCTGCTGCAGTCCAGTAAAACATGGAAGTCTTGTACCGCTCCCAGCCTGTGAATGGACAGTGAAAGGAGAAGCAGCAAACTGATGAGTTCATCAATCACACATTCTGCTCCCTCCTCCAATCATCATGCTTCTTGCACTGCAACACAGTTTGCTCCTTGTAATGCTTCTCCCTCTCCCGGTCTAGATTCTGCTGTATAGGGACTGCAATAGTCTGATACTAAGTTGGAGTCAGGTACTTGCACTGCTTGCATGTAATAAAGAAAAATTTTGATCATGTCTTAATTATCATATAGCTCAGATTTAAGCTCAGATTTAAATGCTTTATTTATTCTGCAAACATATAGTTATCTTACAAACATGGTACTTGTTACACAAATACCTAAACTACAATGTTCAAATGCTAAGCACCATCCATTATCAAATGATACGTTTACCTGCATTGGCCTCCGGTATTTTCTGCAGGCAGTCACATGAGCAATGACACTTGCATGGCTTTCTTTACTGACATTGATCCCATTCACTTTGATGATGCACTGCCCTGGGTGCAGACCAGCAACTGCAGCCACTGTCCCTGCAGGCCAATATGTAAGAAATTACTCATTTCAATTAAAATGACAATCCCACTGCTGATTTACAATCCAGCTGCTGATGAAGTTGAATATCTACGTTTTAAGATGAGAAAAGCAATTTGAAGAGATGACAGGCTGACGAGATATATCAATTTAAGCACTTCAGAAAAATATTTTAAACCACTGTACTATGGGTAAGGTCAGAAGTGCTGCAATGGCTGTTTTGCAACCCAGATGACACTGAGTAATTGGATCATTTCACCAAAAGCAATCTTAATTTTGTTGTAACTGTCCTCTGCGCAGTAGAAGAAATTCTTCAATTTATCATCTGTAGCAACAAACTGTAGTGTAGAAATTGTCAGTTCTGCACAGGCTGGTGCATGTATGTGCTCAGTACTGTCACAGCATAACTGGATGGTTAATCAAAGCAATAGCTTTTCTGAAGCATTACATACAAAAAACTGTGTACATAATCTTAATAGAAGAAAATGCAGTATTCTGATTTTGGCAAAGCTTTTATAGATTTTTTCCATGCAAATGTATTTTCAGTTGTGATAAATTAACCTACCATAGATTCATATATGGACAGGCTGGTTGTATTGAAGCCAATCCACCGACGATCAGATTTTTTTCATACAATCACTGTAGGTGGTTGTACTGAAGCCAATCCACCGACGATCAGATTTTTTTCATACAATCACTGTAGGTGGCTGTAGCCACTAGCAGTGATCACTGTTTTCTTCCAGCAGGGAAGGTTCCCTGCCAGCAGAAAACAATAGCACTGCGGGATGAATCAACACTGAATGTGGGGAAATCGAGCAATTTTCTTTCCTTCCACCAGTGGTGAAAAGAAAGAAAACTGCATAATCTATTTTCCTTCTTAATATACAAGCCTTAAAGTAGGGGTAAATGTATATATATATGTGAGGTCTGCTGGGGATTAGTGACCAAGAATAAGCATAATGTCTCCTTGCCTTCTCATCAAGACATACTGTACCTACATTACAGACCATGAAAAACCTTAGCATCCTTAATAATCCTCAACAAAGTTGCAACTGTAATCATATGATTGTGGGCATATGATGCATTATCATATGCACACAATCATATATTTGTATATATCATCACTAAAGAAATGAGCACGTGACCCAAAAGATTATTTCAAACTCTGACATATGAGTACTGCGTGATGCTCCAAAACACAGCCTCATAATAAATTAAATTCAACATGTACGTAAGTTAAAAACAGCTCTAATTTACCAAAATGTTTAAAATGTACAGTGTTCTTGGCCTGCTTTAAATATGTATTATCATGCAATTGTGTTGGAAGTTAGACAGTATGATTAAAACTTAACTGTACCTCTACCCACAGCGTGTACAACAGATGGCCCAAATCCTCTAATTTGGAATCCAAGTCCCTCTGGAGAATCTGGAATTTTTACTGTCCTGGTGAACAAAAAAAAACTGTTCTAAAAAAAAATGTTCTGACATAAGATCTACTTTGCACATAAATGAATACATGCTGAAAGTCATAAAAAATGTCAATAATGAATGTAGTCACATCAGTTCTCTAAAGTACACTTTTTGTGAGCACTGTAATAAAAGTGTTTGTACCTAATATTTCCTAGCTGTCATTTAAAGGAAGCAAAAAAGAGACAGATTGCAGGTTGCACACAACACAGATTGTATTATTTGTAGATTTACCCTCTCTGTGTGTCCCGCAGACCACTGTCCCCAGGAGAGAAGACAAAGGAACATCCATAGTCTTGAGTTGCTAACATAACGGGCATACAAGAAAATCTTCTACTAGGGACATTTGTTTTTGTGACAACTGTTTTAGAGATTTCCTCTTACTTCCTGTTGTTTCTACAGAAGTATTTCAGAAACTTTGGGTGTGCTGTGCCACATTCTGTTGAGAATGTAATGCTAATATCCCCAGTAGTTTTAACCCTTTCTTATGCAGGCCATAGACGGGTCATTTATCGGCCGAATTTTCGTCTGCACGAAAAATCTTCCGATATTCACGCCGTTAGTGGGGCCAACCCGTCGGCTGTTTTTCACAGATCTTCTCGTTTAGTTTTATCGGTCATGCTGGAAAATCCACAAAAAACGGCTGTTTTTCATGGACATTGGTGGCAGCATCGGCAACGGAGCCGACCGATTTTTCATTTATCAGCCGAAAATCCGGCAGATTAACGGCCCGTCTATGGCCTGCCTTACTCTATCCAATGGATAGAGAAGGCTATAGATATGCATTAACAATTCAATCTTTTGTTTATATAGCACCACCATACTTCATAGAGCTTGCAGCTGGACCTAGACATTAAATAGAAACCGCTGATTGATATCTCCAGTGCCAACCTGCTGTCAGGGAAACAGGAGATATCGATCAGGAAAATCCCAACAACATTTCCTAAAAAAACTGGTTTGGTCTGAGTGTCTAACATTTGAAGGTCTCACAGCTAATGGGGCAGAGGTTGTTTCCTTTGCATAGTTAATGCTTACTTTTGCAAATATGAATAAACACAGTGAGTTTGCTTTTAGTTTAATTCAAATTTTAAACTGAAATAAAAAACAGGACTTTTGGTATAACATGACTGGTTTGGTAAAATTAACACAGATTCAACAAATTAATTAAGTTCAGTGTGCTTTCACATTGAAAGTGGAACATCTGCTTTTACTACTATTACTAGGCTTGATTTACTAAGAGAGCAGAAGCTGTTTAAAAAGGATTTTGCTAGTACATGACTGGCTAATTGACAAGAACACAGTTTTAGCTTATTCATTTACGACGTAAACATTCACTTTACTTAGTGAACAGACTACCCATGTCAAAGACTGTAAAAAAAAAAGTAGGAAAGGCTAGTAACAGTTATGGGCACTAATTTTCTTTCAACAAATGCTGTCAAAGAGTAATCTCTCTGACATCCTCATCTTTCTGTCTCACCAGCACCAGTGCCATCTGTGTCAAGAAATTATTTAGAATCATCATATACATGCTGAAGTAAGATGCTACCCAAGAGACAACACAATAATGTAAATCTATGAAGTCATGAAGTCTTTATGCTATTGGCTGTGTAATCACGTTTCACACAGCTTATCCCCTTGCCCCCTTTGACCAGATAGTGTAAAAATCCATCACACTCACACAGCTCAGTCCCCTTCTGCTTTTCTGTGACCAGCTAAAAGGAGAAATCCATCACATTCATATAGTTCAGCCCCATTCTGCCTCTCTGTTGCAGGCGAATGGAGAAATTCATCACACTCGCATAGCTCAGTCCCCTTCTGCCTCTCTGTGAGCAGCTAAAGGTGAAATCCATCACGCTCATATAGTTCAATCCCCTGCTGCCTCTCTGTTACTAGCCAGTGGAGAAATCCATCACACTCACATAGCTCAGTCCCCTTCTGCCTCTCTGTTACTAGCCAATGGAGAAATCCATCACACTCACATAGCTCAGTCCCATTCTGCCTCTCTGTTACCAGCCCATGGAGAAATCCATCACACTTACATAGCTCAGCCCCTTGTTGCCTCTGTGTGAGCAGCCAGTGTAAATCTCCATTACATTGACATAGCTCAGTCCCTCTGTTGCCTGTTGCTTTGTAACCTGGCAGTGTAAAAGATCCTTTTCCACCTTACACAAAAAGTCCTCTGGCACCTCTTACCCTGTGAACACTACTAGAGTGACAACTAGGGAAGGGAAGACTAGGGAGGATCCCTACAGCCTGTAACAGACCAATATTAGTCTCCCAAAATCCAAAGACTATACCTAGCAGGCATCACTAAAATGTTGCAATAACTGGTTTTCAAATCACAAATGGTCCTGTTTATTTATAAAATACACTGATGTATATTGCGGTATGTCTGGAATTAATTTGTGATCTAGCTAGATAAGCACACCTCATTTTAGACTAAGCTGCAGAGCTTCTCTGCTTCCGAAGACCTTGTGTTGAAAAGTACAGCACATTCGGCAAATTTGCATTAGTTTTATTTTGACAGATTTCCATGAAAATTACAGAGCTTAGTAAAAATGCCCCACCCAATCTCAAGAAAAAAAAAATCACCATTTCAAAGTAACCTTTTCTGTATCATTTTAATCTTTGGATAAAAGTTTTGAGCAATTCTCCATAGGAAATGAGCATGACTTTACAGGTGGTAATAGAATTAGAAAAAGTTACTGCAGAAACAATTAGTGATGGGAGCCAGAGCCAGTGGCCAATGGAAAATACAAGTCTGTACTTAGAACTGCAGGATATAAAAGAACAACATGGGCTAGGTTGGAAAATAAATTTAATTAAGTCAAGCTCCGGAAGAAAGACACTTGACTGGAGAGCAAAGGTTTTTCCACTTTTCAGGTCATTAGTGCTTTTAACCCACCATTCCCTTTTTGTTACTGATTTCTAAAAGGTGGTATAATTACATCTATTTTTTTTTTTCTTTCACAACATGGGGCAGGACAACACAGCATAAGAGAAGTACATTAACTAGCTTGGGTTAATTGGAAGTTATTTAATGTAGATGTATAAATGTTACTTATGTATGCACCTTTTTATGTAATTTACCTTTCTATAGGAGTTGAAGAAAATAAATTCTACGGGCTTGGAAAAATCTGTATGCAAATGAATAGAAAACTGGCTAAAAGATCGTATTCAAAGAGTAGTGGTTGATGATTTATACTGTGAATGGTCTAGGGTTGTCAGTGGTGTACTCCAAGGTTCAGTGTTGGGAACCTTACGTTTTAATATAATTATAAACAATATAGGGTCTGGAATTAAAAATACAATTTCAGTCTTTGCAGATGACACCAAGCTGCGCAGTGGAATAACGTCCTTACCGGATGTCTTCAACTTATAAGTTGACCTCAATGCACTGTTTAATTGGGCAACTATGTGGCAAATGAGGTTTAATGTTGATAAATGTAAGGTTATGCACTTGGGAGCTAAGAATATGCATGCATCATACATACTGGGGGGAGTACAACTGGGGGAATCAATGGTGGAGACGGATCTGGGAGTTCTGGTAGATCACCAGCTTAATAATGGCATAAAATTCTTAAGCGAGCAAAATCCTCACTTTTATTATAAGAGGTATAGACTCGGTGTTATACCAATGTTTTTGTCATTTATGTGCCATTCATAGCCCCTGCGTGGGCGCACCTGTTGCTCTGTTAGTGTTGGAGCACTGTTTTCTTTATTTTTTTTTATGTGCAATTGATGGCCCCTGCGTGGGCGTGTCTTGTTGCCCCTATTTTTTAAAATGCTTATAAATGAATAAAAATCATTGAAATACAAAAGAGGCATAGACTACAGAGAGAGAGATATCAATTTACCCCTGTACAAATCATTAGTAAGACCTCATCTGGAATACATAGGGAGAGAAGCCTTTATCAGAGTGGATTACATCTAATGGAATTCATCCAAGGGTTCCAAAGGTGAATTCTCACAGTTGTGTGATGCGCTTGGTGTCATTCCTGGAGTATGTGAGTGCACTATGTGTCAAGATGTTTATTGCACTAGTATGGTATGGGCTTCCCTGGTCTGTTGTTTTGTTTAGATTGCCCACTGTCTTTGTTTTGGCAATTCAAGGGATGGCTGCAAAGACCCTGGTATAGTGAAGGCTGCAACACTGGTTTGGAGTTTTTTTGGCTGGTCCCACCTGAGCAAGAGAGTGATAATTAATGACAATCTGGTTAATATAAAATTAAAATGATGATCCTGATTGTTGTTTAAAATCTTCATGCTACACAAAATAAAAAATTTGAAATTATGAACCATTTAATTTCATTGTTGCCTGCAACTGGTTACAAAATCACTTAAACAGTCAGCTCTCTTCAAAGGGTTGCTCACCCCTAGTGTGGGGTGTCAAGATGAGAATAAGTAGACAAGTCATATATTTACCCTTCTTATGAAAATTATTATATAAATAAAGGATGATCACCATGCACAATTTAGTGCAACAAGGAGCTCAATGTGTAGAACCAATACTAGGTCACGTGAACCCACAGACTTTATTAATATAAACAAAACTGTATTTCTATCTATATAAAATTTACCAAAAACATGAACCACTCTCATAGAGCCGGAGAACAAATGTATGTTCGTAGAATGTTCAATAATTTCTATGTACGCAATATTTTTGTCTGAACTACCACAATATAATACTAATGTTCATTAGAAGAAAGATCTTATAAGAAATAAAGCATAGATGTACAATAACCTATGGCAATTAGTTTACCACGGTTTGCTTTTCAGAGGGTACCACTAAGGTAAACAAGCCCACTGTTTCTTGTCCTTGGTCATAAATCATGCTATTTAAACATTTTAAACAATCACGCTAACGTACAGTTGTCAGCATAACAAATATTCTAAATTGGCTGCTGGACCACCATGCAATCATCATATACCTTCTTGAGCACGTGGGAGCCTTGAATCACTGAGCTGGACCACCA